GCTTTGGTTAGGTCGAAAGCTAGGAGATGTTCTTTGTCGCCTTTGACTGAGGCGTTGGCTGGGATCTCCTTACCCCGGTGCTTCAACTGCGGCTTCCAAGGTGGCGTTGGCTCAGATGCGTCCGTGGGTTACTCGGTGCTCAGCTCTGCAACGAGCTCAGCTGTTGGGTCGGTGGACCGAGGCCTTTTCCTGGCCCTACAGTTGTCTTTATTGGTCTGCGCAACAGTAGTTGACGCTAAAGCAATCACCGTCCCAGATGTTTAACTAGCAGCCGGGGCACGGGAAGGGATGTTTGGCAGCTCGGTGGATGTGGCGGTGATGAAGTTCTTGATGTGGCTCTGCTTCGCCATCTCTTCTTCTTCGGTTAGCCGAATAAGGGGCACGTCCGGTAGTATTGGATCAGGCGGTGGGGATGGTGCCTATAGGAAGTCGGTGACTCTACTTTTGCGGGAAGCCGAGTAACGGTAGCTCGGTACGTAACCGAGAAGTTCGTGGCAATCTCGATGACGATACCTCAGCGCGGCTCTGATGGCAACCTCGTTTGGGTTGAAGTAGTTCGCTTGCAAGGCTTCAATAGCTGCAAGGAAAAGGGCGATTAGTACAGAATAATAAAGCAAAGAAGTATGACCGAGCAGTGAGCATGGCTAACATGTCGAACCGGAGTTCTTGCTAATGTACCAATCGGGCATATCTGCCGTCTCGTAATTTCTTGAGACCCAGAAAAAATCGTCGTCATGCATGTCTTTATTCGGGGTGCCAGTCACAACTTTTTCCTTGCTCGGTCTAATCTTTAAATAATAATTAAGCCCGTCGCCTATATGGCCCAGGGTGTATTGGCGCAGAATCTCGGCTAGCCCAAGGTTCAAACCGAGCCGGTTGTTTAGCTCGGCCACACCGTTTATTATTCTGAATGTGTTGGTGGAGACTTGTGTTGGCGCAAGCCCGGTACGCCTCAGGAACTCACATATTAGGGGCTGAACCGAGAAGCGTAAGTCTCCCTCGATTATGGACAACACGGTGAAAGGGCATTCGTCCAGTCTGCCCCATGGGGTGGTGTCCTCGACATCGAGCTCGAGATGTACGTTAACAGGGACGCCATATTCTTCCCGGAACACGGCAAGGGCGATCGGCGTGTCAACGAGGAAGCGGTAACGCCCCATGTGAAGCTGGCTGGTTTTAGCACGGCAGTGTTGGTTTGGAAAACTTTCGTTTGATGGCTGCTCGGCCTTTGAGAGCCTCAGTGTTGGTGTCTGGTCCCTTAGGACTCTGCAGTAAAAGCCAAGTGTAAGTGGTAGCGCTGTCGCGCAAACGAGCTCGGTTTTGGCTCGGACACAAGAAGTGCAGCAGCACCCCGGTCACTACTATGCACCCAGAAGCTCGGTCGCTCAAGTGGACCAGATGTTAGCTCGGTCAAACGGTCTAGCATTCTGTCAGATTCCCACCCGTCTCGCAAACTTCCAACTTGCTCGGTTCTATTATTTTGGGGATCAAATGAGGTCCAAGAGCCCGGTCTGCCCCAAATCCTCGCGTGTTCATCACAGAAAATGAAAAACAGTTGAAGGAGAAGGGGCAAAGGTGGTTTTTGTGGGACTACATCCTAAAACCTACTGCTATCGTGCCCTAAACTTAGCTACGACAATCACAGGCCTAGAAAACACGAGTATCAAATGAAGAGATTCGAAGAACTTATGGGTTTGGAGGCGAGAATCGAATCTTCAAGCACGAAAATACTCTTGAGCTTCAACAGTGAAGCCAAGTCCACCTAATGGATGCTGTGATGTGGGCAAGAATAATGTTTGATAGAGGAGGTTACACTGTAGGTTCGAGTCTCTGGGTTATCTGAGGAAGAGGCTGAGCAATAAGGAAGAAAGAGGAAGGGGCAGACGACGTGCTTATAGGAGGAAAAGAAGCACCAAAAATTTGAAAAATGAAGAGGTGGCGTTGTTGGCCGTTCGAGACCAATGAGCGAAGGATGCATGTCCATAATGACGACGGCGCCAGTACTGAAGAGACAGGATGGCGAGTTGAGGCGTCGGCCGAGCAAGTCAAGAAATTGAGTATGGGGATTAGCTCGGTCAACGTCTTGCGAATTTAAGTCGGGCGGAGAGTCGACCCCGGTCGGATCGTGTAATCCTAGTCACGCTTGCGCGGACGGAATTAAGGGGCAATTGAGAGGGAGATTTATAATCTGGCCTTGGGCCGTGGTAGAAACCGGGCAAAGAGAGGTCCAAGCGTGTTTGGGCCGAGCTAACGTGGGCTTTTCCAGAGTTGGTTTGCTCGGTCGACCGCCCAGGTCCTATGTTTGGGCCGAGCTAACTTGGGCCTATCCAGATTTGGTTTGCTCGGACGAGTCCCGGCTCCCAAGTTTGGGCCGAGCTAACCTGGCTGAGGTGAGTGTCGGCCAACCCGGGTTTCGTGGTTCGCGCATTTAGCTCGGCGGGAAAGGTCTTCTGAATACCGGCCTAATCTGTCTAGAGCCCAGTCATACTGGAATGCTACTGAGCTTGGTTGTGATGGAGCTCGGCGAGTGGTGCCATCGGACTCGTTACATGGCACGGTCGTATGAGGCCGAGGTGATACCGCCGGGCTGTCCCGTTCCCGTAGATATTGTCTGGTGGTCTGATTAGGTGGTGTTTAGCTGGATTTGCGTTGATTGATGGGCGAGCAGCTCCACGTGTCAATATGCGAATGGATGCAGAGGTGAGCGCAGAAAGTATATAAGCATGACTGCGCCCCCCATGCTGAGAACGGAACATCATTTGGTGAGAAAAACTTAACATCCATTCAGCTCTCTCTCTCCCTCTCTCTGAGTGTGTGCTAACTAGACCGTCGGAGGGGTTTTCCGGCAACACACCGCCGGGTAGCTCACCGCCGTTGTGTTTTCTGGTTGATCGGATAGACTCGGAGATTGGATGAAAGGAGTACGGACAGCAACGAATATCTCCTCCCCGTACATATACACAGGTGAAGTTAAAGAAGCATGGGTCTGATATAAAGTATGTGGCTTTTGTACTTGCGATTGGAACTGAATGAGATATTGGTAAGAATTTCAACTTCATTGTATTTGAAAATTTTATGCAGAACTAGTGTTCGGGAAGAATTTTCTTATGATTATGTGCTTTTTTATATACTGATTGTCAATAGACTAATCATATACTTATATCAATTCTTTTATACATTATGATCATGGGAACTCCTTTATGTGTTAATTGCGTTAAAACATAATTTTTGGGTGCCTCTATTTGCACACCACATTTCATCTCAAGGCACACTTTTAGTAATTTGATAAATAAAACATTTGCTCAATACACACCACAATCTTCCATCTTTACCCTTACTCACACACCTCACGCACAATCTTCCATCTTTACCCTCATTCACTCATACACCCCACCCACCCATGATCTTCTATCTCCCCTCCCCCCATTCTCTATTTCATTGTCTTCCCAATCTAAACCAGTGGTGAAGACCTAATCTCCTCCAATATCTGTTTCATCAAAGACGTCGCCGGTAGTGCTCGTTGTTATCATCACAGTTGGAAACAACTCCACATTGAAGATATAGTAGGTGAGAATTCTCATTTGGCTTATATTTTAGAGTTTTATGTACGTTTTCCCATTGCCATGAGCATTGTATTTGAAATTTCATTTTCCGAACCATTCGACACTGTACTTTCGAACATTAACCATTTGTTTGGATTGTTTTTGTCGAATAATGTAAATTTGTTCGACATTTTAGTGTCGAACATAACTAAACTATTTGAAGGTAGACTGTCGAACATAATCATATTGTTCGAAATTAAAGTGTCGAACAAAATGTAATTGTTTGGTTCTGTACTTCTGAACGAACTTATCTTTCTCTATTTTATGTTTCATTTTCAGAAATGGATGACCCTTCGCGTATTCCACCCATTGCCTCAGAGAGAAAATGTTGTGCATTAACAAATCCTGCTCGTGGCTAAGGTCGAGGTCGGGGTGATGATATTGTGTTAGAGGAAGCACCTGAAATCTTGCAAGAGGATACAATTGATAATGGTTCAGAAGATGCTATTGCTGCTGTTGATGTTAATCAAGCTGAGGAGGAGGTACTCACTGGTCCGTTTCCTGGGGGACCGTCAGATTCATCAGTACTGATGGGCTTCAAGGCACATATTGCAACATCTATATGAGAGCAAAAGGTAGTATATATTTTTTTCATGTTTCATTTATTTAATTAATTATTGAACCAAATTATTTATGTTAATTATTACTTACGATGCAGGAGAGGAATCCCTTAAGGTGTTATAATCATGTTTCTTTAGTGGCGGTGGTGGTCAATAATTGACAATAGAAGGTTTAGAGACATTGTGCAACGGTCAGGCCTATCTTCTTTGGTCCATTGCACATATCAGTTCGTGAATAGGATAATTGATATGATGTGCAAGATGTTGAGGTATGACAATATTGTTCACACATTGTTTACATTTTTTAAAGACGTTTAGCTAATTGTACTTGTATTTGTTTTTGATCCAGCGTATTGATCACGCACTACGGGTTGCGCATCCTATCATCGAGGCGAGCCATGATGCTAGTGTCCGTGATCCAGATAGGTTATATAAGGCCATTGAGACGATGACACGTGTTCTTCAGGGTCAAGAATTCGATGAGGCTGGACCTAGTTCTATTCCATTTAGAATATACAGTTGTAGGAGACGAGTAGATGATAGGTAGTAGGTTTTGTGGTCATTTTGTTTTGTTATTTTGTAATGGAAGAGAAGTACTCTTTTGATGTTTTTGTTGTTTTGTAGTGAACAAGAAGTACTCTACCAATATTTTATAATGAACAAGTACTCATGGTTTGTATATTTGGCAATGAACAAGAAGTCTTATGCCAACGCTATTGATACATTGCAATGAACAAGTAGTACCATGTGCATTAAATGAACTCAAAATGCTAACCCGCAAAGAAATGTATTGGTAACTATTTGAATTGCATAACACCAACTCGGCTGACATACATCATTACTCATCAAGGTTAATACAATCAAATGTCTCTCTAATAGCTACCCTTGAATGAACAACTTCTTTAAAATGCTTAATTCGACGACTATATGCACTATTACATCCAGCTGCGCAAGAATGGTGAAACCTACACCAATTAGTAGCTATCAGTGGAACTGGATGACCCGGTAACATGAATACCTACATTGATAAAACTTTAAGTATGAGATCGATACAGTACAAAATGCTAAATGTATTAAACAAATCATAATGCTATACCTGGACAAAATGAATCCCATTAACGAACCTTATAGCAATCTCACGCCATTGAACTTGTGATATTGGCACTGATCGTAAGGGGAGGAATGTAAGGCATTGTTGTGCAGATAAGTGGTACAATACCACATTATAACATGATGCAATAGGATGACCCATGTCAGGCATAGTCATCCAACGGTCATATCCTGGATTAGGCTCAAAGTATGATAGAATATGGGTCAACTCTTCAATTTTGTCATGTGAACCATATAACTGAGTGTAATGGACTTTGTGTGTGTGCAATTCTTTTAGGAGATCACACCTGACTTGACCCCATTCAGCCTCTGTAAGCTCCATCAAGCCAGTAATGGCCCTAAAACCACAATTGCGATCGGTATCTACATCCTTGATAAGACGTATGTATGGCTTCAATCCAACTGGGAGGGCATCAACATATGAATAAGTAGTAGCTGTACGAGTCCGATATACCTATTCAACAGGGAGGTCATCAACATATGAACAACAAAACACGTAATTTATTATCAACGAAAATGTAAGTAAAAAATGATTATATATAGGTTCCCTTTGGCGAGCCGTTTTATATGTACTTTGACAGAATCCTGTGTGGGGATCTAGGTGCCCATAGGTAAGTGGCTATCATGTCCAGACTGAACCAACTCAAACGCACATGGGTCTCGACGCGTAGATACATCAATCTTCTTATGTCCCTTACCTCGAGGGTTGGGCTTTATATCCGGCTCAATGAGAAAAGTACTTTGCAGATTTGCAATCTCTCTTAACTTATGCAGAATTTCCAACTTCTGAGTATAATTAGATGTATTCAATCGCTTAAGTATGAGATCAAACTTTAGTTCACAACTAAAATCCATTTTATCATTCTTCAACTTTTGTATTATCTCAAGAGTCCTCTAGTGCGGATTAATGCTATCAAGTGGTATTGGACGACCCTGTCGGATGTAATTCGCAATTTCATCGGCACAAGGTAACCCGTGTGTTCGTCGAACGACATATCCACATACTGAAGTATCAATGCCAACATCATCCGCTCACTTACTCTCCGCCAAGACATGCTCTGATGCAGTAATAGAGATATTGCCTCGAAGCTCTCTAAAATGGGATGGTTTGAACTGGTGTTGTACAACGGTTAAACTCTTCTCAAATGATGCCTTAATATTAGTGTGTTGCAACTCAAGCAAGCTATGGTTGGTCTAAGAACACTCAAAATTGACTTGGTTAGAACCAAGTTGTCGTTTAAGTTTTGCATGTGCACTTTTAGCCCTGTGTACAATGGAAACAATTAACATAATTAAGTTTAAATAAGCAAAATCATATTGATTAATAGTGTAAGGTAAACAAATATATATTACCTATTGGTTATAACATTCCCGAAGTGCATAGAAGTATCGATCGATAAGGCAACAAACTTTTCTTTATATGGAATTAACCAACTTTGTGACAAGTATTGCACTACCTTAGCATATGTATCAAAATTCGTAACTAGCATAGCAAGGCATTCATTGTATTCAAGCTTAGTCGAGGAGAGTACTAAGAAATTCCATGAAGAGATAAACTTGCCCTATTTCTCCTTACTCTCAAACATTTTCTTTCATTTCGCCATTACATTTCTACTAATATGCCATCGGTATAATAAATGTCGAGATGTAAAAAATACCCTGTCAATAGCATTCATCAAAGCAAGCTCTCTGTCTATGACAATCACCTAAGGAATAATAATGTCACCCAAGAGACTAAGCAATATAGTTAACACCCATACGTAGTTATCAATATACTCAAATTGGAGATATGCAAAGGCTACGGAGAATGACATATTAGTGAATGTCACACCAGCTATCTCAAGAAGAAGAAAACGATATCGATTTGTCTTATATGTGCAGTCCATGATCAATACCTTTGGAAATGAACGGAGCAAATCTAAACTTACAGGATGTGCCCAAAACAATTCCATGATAGTCATCGTGTTGTTGTCACACCTATGCTACTCAATGTAATTATGCTTTTCTAATGCACCCAACAACTGTTGCATCTGTGATCTCCTAGCTTTCTTAATAACATTATTCCTATGATGTACATTGTAAATGGTTTTCATAGTGGTTATATTCAAAGCATCCTTTTGTTTTAAGGTAACCAAAATCTCTTTTGGTCTGACCATGCTTTTGGACATATCCACTAATAATGATGTTTCATCCTCAGATAATCTCCCTGCCAATGAATGTCTTTCAAAATGTTTAGCAGGAGCATGGTTATGCATTCCACATGCTACATCTAGCATCTAACTTATGCATTCCATCAACTTACAAGCCCTTAACTCAAAGGGACACCCGCATTTCTTTGTACCCATTAACTTCACAATTTTTTTGTTTGAATCATCTCCTTTTAATTTCTTATGAGCTATGTATTGACCACTTCTCTCACATGCAAGATATATCCTTGATGTCCTATGACTACCACCATAGTCCGATGTCTTGATGACAATCACAAAATCATTTTTCCTTCCAACATCCCGTACCCAACTGACCAATTCTTCTTTGCTCTTGAAAACTTACGTGTCAAATTCACCAAAGTAATTAAACATGCCAAAAAGAAAAAAGAAAAAATAATAATTTTTCGACATGAGAGTACCGCTTTAGTAATAAATTGATTTGCGTAGTCAACAAGACACTCAGATCCAACATTACTGCATTCCACGGATGCACAGTTCTGGAAAAACCAAAAAAAAAAAAAATTTGTTGTAAGTGTTCGGAAATACAGAGTCGAGCTAAATACACAAGTTCGACTGTTGAATACCGAACAAATGCTATAAGTTCGAATCTTATTAACCGAACTTGTGGACTAAGTTCGACACTATAAATCAAATAGATATACTTTGTTCGGTTGTAAATTGTAGAACATGGGTATATTGTTTGACTCTAGATAACTGAATGAATACAAACGGTTTACCACTTAGCAAGTAAATAAAAATGAAAAAACTAACAATGGAAAACTAACATTTTCCTTGCTTCATTGTTCCAAACCAATATTGCCAGATGCATTCATCATCCAGTCTAATCAAAATCTTTAATAATACATATATTTTTGGTTGTTTGTTTAAGGGTTTTTGGTTTTTGTCTCAGGGTTTTTGGATTCTTGAGAGAGAAAATACATAAGTAACGTTTCAGATACTTGGTGTGTATTATATTCATTATCGTTCTTTATGGTAATTTTACAAAAGGTGTGTATCATAGCTCTTTGTCCTTTGTGGTCATTTTACATAAGGTTAATATTGTAACAAAAATTAAACCAATTAATGGTGTGCCTTGAGATGAAAAGTGGTGTATAAATAGAGGCTCCCATATTTTTCTCTAGTTTCGCCAAAACATAGAGAAATTTGTGAGTAAATTAGAGAAAATTGGTCAAAACACAGATAAAATTATAAGTAAATAAGAGAAATTTGTAAGCAAATCAGAGAAATTTCAAAACGCAGATAAATTTGTTTAAAATTTCTCTAGATCAAAATTTCTCTAAAAAATGTTGAGGATCCCAATTATTATGAAAATATTACATGTCTTTTACCCTATAAAATTTTAATACTAGTGACCTTAAAAAAAAATTCTTAGAACTAATTGGCTTTATTTAATGAATTTTTAATTGTTGCCCTTAGGACAATTATTAACAAAACTCAAAAAGTAATTTTATCAAGGGCTAGGTTTTCTCTCAAGTTTAAATATGAAAACGTGATGGGTTCGTATGGCGTTTGGATCTCTCTTGATCTCTCTAGAGTTTTTTGACAGTATCATTTTGATCCAAACGATGTTGTTTTGATTAAGGTCATAACAAGAAAAGGAAAAGAAAGATGGACAAATAGACGCATTCAGTGCCCCACTTACTATTGGAGCCATCTCCGACTGACACCTTTTACATCTTCTTCCACCTTATCCTGCCTCTTGTCTTTCTCCTCCTCTTCATGCTCCTCCCGCCATCCGCCTCTTCTTTTCTCTACTGATCTTCTTCTTCCTCCTTCAAAACTTTGCATGTATTGCAACATATATAAATATATATATATGCTATTGTCTTTTCATTTTTGGTTAAATGAAGTACACAAAAAAAATTGTGATTTATGTGTATAGATATAGTTCTGATCTTTACTTTCTTTGATTATAGTTTAATGGGCGAAGTAAACGTTACTTTCCATATGAAACAATCATAGAATTTTTTTTTCTAGAAATTCACCTCCCAAAACTACGATTCTTCCATTTCAGAACAATTAGACTTCAATGTTAGACTCTCTTTGGGTGGTTGTAACACTCAAATTCTTCTCACCTCTAGCACTACCATCACCACCCTCTGAAAATCCTACATCTAGGGTTATGGTTTTGGGGCAGGAAGAAGAAAAAAACAAAGAAAAAGAAAAAGAAAAAGAAACAGAAGAAGAGGACAAAGAGGAAGAGAGAAGAGGAAATGGCTGATAGCGGGTGAAGAAAAGGAGAATGAGAGAAGAGGAGAGGGGCATCGATTGAAGACGGTTTCGAGGAATTGGGCACTGTAAGGCGTGACTTTTTGGGAAAATTTTATTTCCACACACCTACTTATCTGAGTGTACACACTTAATGAAACATTATTTTAATGACAATTATACCCTAAAATAAAATGACTATAATGGACATCAAAACACACCCTTAATATTAAACTTAAATTTTCTCTATACACATCTTTTTTTTATAAAAAAAAAAAATCTCATTGCACATTTTTTGAGTAAAAAAAAAAATCCTAATTTAGATAGAGAGAGAAAAACCATTGAAATCCATGGAACCATCTTAAAATCAGAGGGATTATTGTTTTGCTATGAACTAAGAAACCCCCAATTCCATCTCCAAGTCAAAGTTCATCTTCTTCACAACCTCCAATTTCATCTTCAGATTCTCAATCACTTGCATCAATTGTAATTCTCTGTTGATTTTCACATTCTCTTCCCCACTAACATATCAATTATATTCATCACCTTTTGCCTCTGATCATCCAAACTCTTCTTCAGAAACATCAAACTCCCCATCATCACCTCCCTATCCATTGATCCACCACTACAACCAAACTCACCTCCACCCATTTGGGTCTGTAAATCCAACTTCTTTGACTCTCCTCCCTTGTCTTGAATGAGGGTTTTGCCGCCGAATCAGACTTGTTTCACAATACCATCATCTTGATTACTCCTTGGAAAAACAAGGTCTAGTTCAAACACATATTCATTGAAGTTCCACCCACTGATCTTTTATTTCACAGTCACACCACTAATTAAAAACTCTGTGTCGCCTTAAACCGAAATAGGGTTTGAACTGTTGGTATACAATTTTGAACAGGTGTGTGGAAAAAAAGGTTGAGGTGGTGTGTGTACAAGAACATGAGTTAAGGGTATGATTGGAACATTTGGTGTGTGGAATAAGAACAACTCATAATCAAATTGCTAAATGTGTGCACTGAGAAATGATATACATTGAGGTAAGTAGGTGTGTGAAAATAGAATTACCCAACTTTTTGTCTTTTTTTTTTTTGGCCTAACTCAAAACAACGTCATTTGGATCAAAATGATCGTTTTGATACACTGTAAGACAATTCCAGAGAGATTAACTCTAAAGGATTCAGACGAGTTCGTAGGGTATACTAAGAGTCTCGTTTCGATTATTCGAATGCTATTCATTTTTTAGGGTCTTTTTATCTATATCATCTATTTCAAATTAAATCGATTTGATAATTATAATTTTTTTTTCATTTTATTACGTTTGTTTTTAAAAAAATAAATGATTTATTTTAAAAAAATATATTCATTATTTATTTTTTTAAATACAAACACAATAAAATAAAAAAGTTACGATTATCAGATTAACTTAATTTTTTTATTAGATAATATACACGGTAAGCCTTATAAAATGAATGATTTGGATTATTGAAACGGGACCATTGGTGAGCCTCCCAAATCCTTTAAGTCCTTTAATTCTCTCGTATTCAGATTTAAACCTGAAAGAATTTCAATCCTTTGATTAACTTGGTAGGCATAAATTTTCTTTCTTTCTTTTCTTTTCTCCCCCCCTCCCTTTTTTTGTATCAAATACATCAACAATTTTTGTTTTTTTATGCCTTTAATTTGTGGTTGTTTAATACCCTGGTAACATTTAGGACAACCTACTTACCAAGCACCAAACGACTCTGCCTTTTTTAATCGAAGAGTTATTGCTCTTTTTAATGTAAGAGTTAATGTGATATCTTCATTAAACAAATGAAACCATAACAATCAAACCATAAAGCTTGTGTAACAGTAACAGTTTCAAATCTCCCTCCGTAAGAGGAGATAATTTGAGCCCACTAAATTAATTAGGCCCAATAGTCCAAGGTTGGTGGGCCCGAATTTATCGCAAGTCTAAGATTGATGGGTCCAGATTTATCGCCATCAAACGGGTTGAATCGCTCTAAGCCTCGAAAGGGTTCGGATCCACGAACCTAGAGACTTACTCGGGCCCGGACTCAAAAGGGTTTGGATCCACGAACCTAGAGATCCAAAGCACATGACTTCGAACGGATTCGAACGCAATCTAGAAGTCGCTCCGTTAATGAGTCCTAGAACACTTGCGGGCTCGGAGCTTTCCGGGATCAACACACTAGAACCATGGGCGTAATGGAGTTCGAACAAAGGACCCGATCCTAAGGATGGTGAGTGAAGATAAATTCACTTTTCGGTTAAACTAGCTTATACTCGGGTCAAGGTGGCACGACCCCGGGGGGGTCCATGAGACTTGGCAATATTTGCGGCAGGGCGTTCTCTTGAACTATCCCTGACCCTTCTGCAGCAGGACGTCCTTTTGGACTACCCCTGACCTTTTAAGATGATTAGGGATTATTGGTTAGGTGTGGCTAAGAAGAAGGGTTCGTTGAGAAGTTGATCTCCTCTTCGAAAGTTTTCCTTATCCTCGGAGAGGTCACCTCCTTGGACAAGGTGGTTAGAGAGAATATTCCTCATGTGCCTTGTACATGGGCTCCATCCTACATCATGAGGTGCCTATAAATAGCACCCACCCATAGCTTTACAAGGGATGAATTTTGGAGAGATAACTCTTGGGAAAGAACTAATTTCCCTTCTCCATTATCAACCTTGAGAGTGAAAGTGGGAGATCCATGGGAAAGCCTTGCCATTATTCTCTCTCTAACTATTTTTCCTTCTTCTTCACCCAATCTCTTATCTCCATTATCTCTTTGCTTTTGTGTTCTTAGTTATGACTATTGAAGAATCTAAGCCTCTCATCATTTTCTAGAGAATTGAATTTTTCTTCAAAGATCTTTGAAGATCTTTGAATTTTCCAATGACGTTCTTGAACCCTCTCATACGTTTGGCGACTTCACTGGGGAGGCAGATTGGTTAATGGTCTCAACAAGATTCAGAATCTACACAGCTCCGGTGAAGATGGCGGGAGAAGAAGAAGTTCATCAACAAGGCTCTTCCAATGGTGATGATGAGAGGACTCAAGTTCAAGACTCACCTCTCATCCTTGAAGCTATTCAAGGACTCCAACACACTCAACAAGAGATTCTCACGACCCTTCAAAATCTCACCCACACCATGTTGGTGATGGGTTTGCATTTCGCACCACCGGTAACAAATGAAGGTCAAGTTGGAGCCGACAAGCATCAACAACTTCATGGTGATGTTGGGAATGGTCAAAATCATCAAGACCCACCCCCAATTCTCCCTGAAGTTGCTCAAAATGGTGTGCAAAATCAAATGCTAGGAGGAACAAGTCATGGCCAACCTATGGCCCATAGAGCACAAAATCACGCACCTGGAGCATCGAGCCATGATCCATCGGTGATTGGAGGAGTTTTTGGCATAATGAAAGGTGTTTCAATGACTGTGGAAGTTCAAGAAAGGCCCATAGAAATTTCTCTACAAAATGGTGCTTCATCCATGCCTAATTTTGTTCCACCGATTGTAAATTCTACTCATGTATTGAGCGTATCTCCTTTGGCTTCTACAATGGCTTTCCAAGCCCAACTCGGTATAGCCGCGCCATGCAATGGACTTTATGGGACCCAATTCAATGTGCCATCACCAAATGGCTTGTTCATAGGTGCCGATGGCCAATATCATCAGGTGTCTTCACCGATGATGAATTCTTAACACCAAAATGGCCAAGTCTCTCCAAGCTCGGTCTTCGGGTCCATAAGCCAAGTTCTAGGAATACCACCATCAAGTTCTCCTCCTTAACAATTTCTCACTCTTGTCGATGTGCAAGCCATGTTCGATCTCAAACGGGGCAAAAAGACTTTACCCTATTTGCCTGATCCAGATGTCAAGCCACCATACCTTATCGAGATGTTGAGTTATCCATACCCGGAGGGGTACACGGTGCCGAAGTTCATCAAATTCAATGACAAGCAAGGAAATGCTCGAGAACATGTTGTTCGATTCATTAAGACTTTGGGGATTCATGGTTCAAATCATGTCCTCCGACTGAGAGACTAGTTATAAAACTAGCTTTAAGACATCTTGAGGACCTTCTGTCACTGCGGCTTCCGCGTCTTCTACTAGAAAGTCGCAAGGGGAGGAATTCAGAGGTCAGAAGAGGAAAAACGATGAAGATTACCCTTCTTTTACATATAGTGTCGAGGAAATGAAGGCCTTAGTTAAAGAATGGGTGGCAGACGGGGAACTAAAAATGCCTTATATCGAAGAGCTTTTGCCGAAGAATGATCGCGAAGGCCCTAATTATTGTGTTTTCCACCGATCACTAGGACATCTACGACAACCCTCACCTCCGATTAGTGCTAATCTATGATTAAGCATAATAAGTAATTGATCAAGCTAAAATTCTGAACTGATTGCATGAAAATGTTGCCTAATTGCATTTCTATCTGTTTGTCATTAAATGATCTGTTCATGTTTTTTATTTCGGACTGCGAATTGAAGGCCTTATCTGCGACCGAATCAGAAATTGATTAGTGTTTTATGCTAGTTAGAATTTATGTGATTTTATGGTAGGTTTAATTAAAATTTGATTTGGAATGATTAAATTAGATTAAATAATGTTAAAACACATTAGTTTGAGTAAATTACCTTATTGCCATTAGTGGGCATTTTTAGGCCATTAGTTAATTTCATTGTGATGCACTACTCTTTATCCATGTCCTAGACCAAGAACATGAGAGAGAGAGAGAGAGAGAGAGAGAGAGAGACTTGAGGGAGATTGAATTCATCTAGATTTTGGCTTGGATTTAGAAGAATCAAAGGGAATTTTGAAGAATTGTTCTTTTGCTCAAGGACCTTGCTTATGTAGAGCTTAATTGAAGAGCCTAGGTAAGAGCTCAACCCTTTAATTTTGTTTTTGAGCCATCTAGAGCTTGTATAATAATGAAATAGGTGAATTCATGGTTAATTGAGTTAGAATTTAAGAGTGTGAAGCTAATTCATGCATGCATGTGCATATTCTTGCATTTTGAGATTGTTTTCATGGGAATTTCTTCATGCATGTTCATATTTTGGTAGAAGTCCATGAAATGGTCATGTTCTTGAGCTCAAACTTGCATTTTTTCTTGTTTTAGAGCATTAGAATTCATAGGAGCTCATGCATGTTATGTTCTTACTTAGTTCATGAAAGTTTCTTTGAAATTGTGTTCAATTGTCTCACCTTTGGGCTTGATTTTACAAATTGATCTTCAAAACATGTTGTATTATGAGTATCTAAGTGTTTTCCAGAAAATTGGCCCCAAAGGTTGAGTTTTGGTGTGCTGAATGCTTGGTTTGATCTTGGGAGGCAAATCTGAAAATTCTAGATTTTGGCTTTTACGCTCGAGCGACCATCATTCAGTTCAGAGATCCGCTCGAGTGATGGAATGCTGGCTCGAGCGTAGAGTGCAAGCTCTCAGGTTTTTGTACACGCAGACACACGCTCGAGCGACGAGACCTACACTCAAGCGAAGGGCTGTGTCTCACGCTCAAGCGAGCATCGAGCAGGGATTTTCAACATCCAGTACTTTTGCATTTTTACAGACCGCTTGAGCGAGGAAGTATACGCTCGAGCGACCCCTCTGTTTTGGTAAGCTCGCTCGAGCGAGACCCCTATTTCAGCAAAATTTTGAAAAGTGTTTTAAAGTGTAACTTTGCATCCTCATCCCATCCTAAGCATTCCTAGGCCATGTTTAAGGCATCTTAATGAGGATAATGTTATAGAACCACACCAAGTCATGTTAGGCGCTAAGTTATTAATCCCGAGTGTGTGTTTGTTCTGCAACTGTAGGGTTGGCATCCGAGGACGCTTGTTAGCTTGTCTGTAGCCCAGTACTCTATGAGTAACAATGTTGTAAAGATACGTTCAATTATATCTATTTCTGAACGATTGACTGTACTATTTTTTGAAATGACAATGCTTACTGAATGAATGTTTGTCCTATTTTTATGAACTGTACTCGTGGCATCCATAGCAACTTACTGTTACTGTACTGCTACTGTTACAGAGATCTCTGTCTGTTCCAATGATTGGAACTACCACTGTTTACTATTATGATGGCCATCAACTGACTGTTAGGTCTGTCAAGACCTACTGTACTGTTTTGCTATTGGATGTACCACATATGACTATTATGGTTTCTGAATAACTGTTATGGCATGAAATATGAGCCACTGATTGAGTAACTGTTTATTGACTGTTTTAATTACTGAAAGGACATTCATTCTTAACCCCTTTACGCATATGTTATTCACTGGGGTTTAGCTCACTGTTTATATTTATATGTAGGTGTCCAAGCACCAGTCCGAAGCTAGGAGCGTCAAGTTAAGCTCCCGTTTTGTCAAGCCAACCTTTGTGCCTCACTTTAAGGTTCCACGTCTGTTCAAGCTAGGGCTGCTCTGGGGTGTCTCTGTTCCACCCTTCTGTCTCGGTTTTGTAATAAGTGTTTAAGACTTGACTGTACAGTTTTGTTGAAGGGACTTGGTCCCTAACCCGGATGTTGTGTATATGACGTATGTATATATGTTTTAGTTATGAATGTGGCTTGTGCATAAAAGTCTTTTTGCATTCAGGTTTTCACAGCTCATTGGACATCTTTTATTTACTGTTTTGGCTTCCGCCAGCCCCTCTACTCTGTATTATTGTCATTACTGTTAAGCATGCCTTTAGTAATCACGGATTACTGGCCGGTTACGATGCTAAACCCATAGGGGTGGGTTTGGGTCGTGACAACATCCTACAGAAAAGTGTCGGACGCTTAAAAAGATCTTTAGAAAGAAAGTTAAAGCAGATGAGCTAGAGTTCAAAGAACAAGGCCTCAGGATATCCTAGAAGACATGGCTATGATGGCGTATGATGGCCACAACCCGAGCAGATGGTGAAAGTTTTTCGAATGATCTTGCAACTTTAGGGGCAAATATTAATATTCCGTAGAAGAAGTCTATCTATGACATTTACAATTTATATTTACTGCATTGTCCAAGAAGTTATATATTTCTTATGTTATGAAGAAATTTATTTCCTCCATATTGTGTATCTCCATTAGAAGTTTATTTTCTCTATATTGTGTATCTTCATTGTGTTATGTTGCTTAAGACATTTTTAAATTTTTGTTGCCCTTCAAAGAAGAAAGAGGAATAGTAAACTCGGTTACCAACCTGAAGAGACCTTTCTTGACGCAGTAGAAGTGTACTCCCACTCAGACATCCGAAGAGCAGCCATTGCTTCCATCAATGCAAGCTTTGAGGGTCTTTCTTGCTGAAGTAGAGTGTGTGCTCCCACTCGGACTTCCGAAGAATAACCCTTACTTCCGTCAATGCAAGCTTCGAAGGTCTTTCTTGTTGAAGCAGAGTGTGTGTTCCCACTCGGACTTCCGAAGAATAGCCCTTGCTTTCATTAATGCGAGCTTCGAAGATCTTTCTTGCTGAAGTAGAGTGTGTGCTCTCACTCAGACTTTCGAAGAACAAATCTCGCTTCCGTCAATGCAAGCTTCGAGGGATAGCATTTGCTTCCATTGATTGTCAAAGAAGAGAGTGTACATCTACTCAAATTTCTGAGGGACAGCTTTGCCTCCGCTCAGATTTCTAAGGAACAATCTTTACTTCCATTAGTACAAGCTTGGTAGACTTGGTTGCCAGCCAAAAGGGATCTTTCTTGATGTTGCCAGCCAGAAGGGATCTTTCTTGCCAAAGAAAGGAGTGTGCTTCCACCCAGACTTCTGAGGGATAACCCTTGCTTCCATTTGGACTTTCGAGGGACAACCTGTGTTTCCATCAGTGCGAGCTTCGAAGATCTTTCTTACTGAAGTAGAGTGTGTGCTTCCACTTAGCCTTTTGAGGAACATATCTCGTTTCTATCAGTGCGAGGTTCGAGGATCTTTCTTACTAAAATAGAATTTGTGCTTCCACTTGGACTTCCGAAGAAGAGCCCTCAAGACTCGATTGCTTGCCATAAGGGATCTTTCTTGCTGAAGTAGGGTGTGTGCGCTACTATTCAAACTCTTGAGGAACAGCCTTACTTCCGTTCGGACTTCCAAGGGATAGCTCTTGTTTCATTAATGCGGGTCCAAAGAACAGCCCTTGCTTCCATCAGTACGAGCTCCGAAGATCTTTCTTGTCAAAGTAGAGTGGACTTCTACTCGAACTCCCCAGGTATAACCTTTGTTTCCATTAGCTGCCGAAATAGAAGTGCGCATCCACTCGGACTTTCGAGGGATAGCCTTGCTTCTGCTCGAAGTTCCGAGGGACAGCTTTGCTTCCGCTTGGACTTCCAAGAGACAATCTTTACTTCTGTTGGTGCAAGCTTGGTAGACTCGGTTGCCTTCTAGAGGGATCTTTTTTGCCGAAATAGGGGGTGTGCTACTATTCAGACTCTTGACAGGCAGCCATGCTTCTATTTGGACTTCCGAGGGATAGCCCTTACTCTCATTAGTGCGGGTTTTGAGGGCCCCGAGGTCGTGGATTTAGTACAAGAATTCATTTTCCGAATATACAAGATTCAATAGGTCATTTTCTCTCAGATTACAATATTCACTATTAAAGACTCAGTTTATACAAGGCTCTGACTCTGGACAGAGTAAGTTCAGTAACAAATTTCAGGGCTCGAGATCCAAAATATTTTTATTTGAAGATTATATTTCCCATTTGTGAGCGAGACTCAACAGATTATCATACAAATTGAAAAAATATCTCTTCCAAGTCAAAATTCACAGCGCAAAATTTCTTACAAAACAAGATTTGGCAAAAGTGGTGGTTATCTCAAGGTCAAATTTTAACCAAAAAAATATGAGCAAGGATCCTCTAGAGTGATTTTTTCCTAAAGTTTCCTAGAGTGCTACATTGTGTGGTTGAGATTTACTGGCAAGTCACATCAATTTTTCTGATGTGACTTGCCAGTAAATCTCAACCACACAATGTAGCACTCTAGGAAACTTTAGGAAAATTTCACTCTAGAGGATCCTTGGTGAAAAAGAAAATATATATATATAT